TATCGTTCACTGTATTGCAGTATTCTAGGCACTGAAAAAAGTTTTTTAATTCGAGCTGAAAGTTTTGGGACCCTGGACCAGTGCACAGGGGGACGAAGCATTGACTTCATTAGACGAGACGTCTCCAACTAACGTTTAGGTTCAGTGTGCCTCTAACCATTCGGTGATCGCTGCCAGTTTTTACCCTCACGGTCACTGAGACATCACTGAACAGTTGGAGTCTGGTCGTTATAATGAAGTCAATCTTATTTTTGACGAACCGTCGGGGCTCGACAAGGTCCACCTCCTATGGGGCTGCTTCTGGAAGAAAGAGTTCATCATAAAGAGTTCCTCTTTCCCATTGATATACAAAAAACTAAAGATGCACAGTCTCGAACAAAAGCAACACAGCAAAACTGTCGCCAATTATACATCAGTAGTTATAGTTATGATGTAAACATATATTTTTGCAAATTTTACCCGCGCACGATTAAATGTTATTTTTACAAAGCAATGGCTGAAAGGCAATAAAATTTTATGTACGAAGTTTCCCGGTACGAAGAGGCAAGAAGTGGAGACGAATAATGGGTGCGTTTGGCAGAAAAAAGCGCTAGCAAGCGCTTGTAAGCAAAATGGCGATCGTAAGCGGTAAGTGCTGTCAAATCGTAAGTAGCTATTTTCCTCTAGGACACGATGTTAGTTTTAACCGGGGAACCTAACCTAATTTAAATATATGTTTGTAAAATATTCATATTAAAAACTTACCAATCATGAATTTTTAATAACATGTATATGTTTATTATATTACTTAAAACTAATATTGCACAAAACAACTTATAAACTCTACATCAAAACAAACAAATTAATTGATTGTGTCAGCTCTACTGAAGTAGCAATCGTGTGCTGCCCGAAAACTATTTTAGCGCTTGTAAGCGCTTGCTAGCGCTTTTTTCTGCCAAACGCACCCATTTTTATTATACTTTTTATATTTTTATACATTGACATAGTATTATATGAATTTGTATAATTTATACGAATGTGTGTCTTAACACATATTTATATACACAAATATTTCAGTACTTATTCCAAATAACACAGTAATAATCGAACATTAATTTCCTTGAAATAAGTTTAGCTTATTGTAGAGGTGTCTTTTAAATTAGATTTAAGCTATTTAGTTGTGTTTTTAGCGATATAATGTAAACGAACATCTATAAACTTTTCTATTACTTATAGTTTTTATGAGACTAGTTTTGTGATTGAATAGAGCAGATTGATGATGGGAATGTGTATCAATACTAGAAAATATATTTAAATTTAACTTAGGTTTTAAAACTAAGGAAGACAAATCGGCCTTGATTATGTTTTTTGATCATTTATGCGCTGTTCTCGTCTTTTTATTTCCTTTGTTTTATTACATACAGAGTAGAGTAGAGAAGTAGTAAACATCTTCACTAGCGTATCACAGACCACCAAAATCTTTTAAATCTATTAATTTGTGAAACCATAATTTATTACGAGCTAGTGTAGAATCTTTACAGATGTCACATTTAATTTTTTAAGTAAATGTCTGACCACAAATCCCGCTATGTAACCAATAATTTGACTGTCATATTCAGAGCTGGAATTATTTAATATATCTGATAAGATATCACAATTATTCTGATATGTCTCATAACTGCAATCTTGGACTAACAAAAATTCGTTTTCTATTTCAAAACGTATATCCAACGCTAGTGTGGTTAATGTTTGTAGTTGTTCCACAATTCAAAATAGGCACATTTTCTAAAGTAACAGAATTACCTGTTAATTTGGAACCTAGTTCCAGATCAGACCAGTTTTTTAAAATTAATAAAAAAGTGGTTTTAAATTGGCGAGAATTGGGATTATAATTGAAATTATAATTGAACCCTCCTCGATTCCTAATGCTACCGAAGAAGAGCTCAACATGATCCTGGCTAACTTATAGGCTAATATATTCGAAAAATAATTGGTTTCTACAGTACTTGTATATAAATGTTGTACACTGTCAATACAAACAAGTAACCCGATAATTCCTGTATTGGCTTGGCAATTCTGTACACGTATATTGTCTTAAGAAAATATTTTTTTGTTTCTCCCTTCTTTTTGATGGTGCGTTTTCTTTGAACTAAAATATAAAGCGATAATAAGTATGATTTTTAAGACTGAAAGAAACTAAAAACATCTTTGAAATTAACGCTACTTAAAGATCTCTTGAAACCACTGCTGTTGAAATTCCTTGAATTTAAAATATCGAATAAATTATTTAACACTTGTATGAACTTAGTAGTTGAACCCGAATTCATGAAATTTGGAATCTTTAAATCGGTATCACAAAAAGTAATTGCATTCGCCACATAGCAACTTAAAAGTTGAGTTGCTAGTTTAACCTTCATAACGTAATTTTTGAACCAAATATTTTTGGGTTAATTTATAAGCTAAATGTAAATTATGTTATTCTTGAGCTTAGTGAAGATCTTCAAGTAGCTTCCACTTTATTTGTTAGTTATCTATTGTAAATTACTTTTTTTTTTAATTCAAATTAATTTCTCATTAGCTTAATCATATGACATGCATAAGAACGGTCGGAACTGTAGTGATTCTCACTCCAAGGAAAACGCGCTCGCCTCTACATTGGCCATTGGGAAGCGTTGCAGAGGTTTTCCTGGATCCGATGGAGTAACGAGGATAGCTCGTGTTAAGACTACGACCGGGTCGTATTTGCGTCCTGCTGTAATTTTCAAATTGTTTTTATAGGTTAAGTTAGTAGTTTAAATTAGGTTTTTAGTAGTAGCTTTCGTTTTGAAGGGAAGCCTTCAAGCCGGAGGGATGGTTGGAATTCCAACGCGCACCCTTGTATTTCGTATTTGTTGATGTATTTGTTAGTTGAGTTGATGATGACATAATCCCCTCTCTTGCTTTCCTTCCCCGCACGGGCCTGGCTAGTGGGGGCGAGCTAGATACTGGTGGACTCTTCTTTCGCCCCTCCAATGAGAGGCTTGCTCCTTCAAGTAATTTGAGTTGCAAGCATTTTATCCTGAAGGACAGATAAACAAACAAACAAGAAAGTGACTTAATGCTCCTCTTTACCAGGCCCCAGAGAACTGCCGTAGCAACATTGTTGCTTTTTATGGATTTGTATACTTATAAAGGCTCTGTTTCATATTGCACCACTGCAACTGAAAAAAAAAAATGCTAAAAACATGAAAAAAACAACATCTGAGAAAAACATTAATCCCATTGCCCGCCTTGAGATTGAGATTGACTATATATATAAATGAAAATGAGTTTGTCTGTTGAGTTTTTTTTATATCGGACTAAACAGGCGTTTAACCGCAATCTCACCTGTTGGTGGTCACCTGATGATGTGGCCTAAGTTGGAGCATGCCCGCATTTTTACTACTTTTTATGTTTGATATTTATTTATTAGTTTATGTTATAGACCTAAATTTATTCATAATTCCTAAAATGAAATGAAAAATTTTATTATTTCCTTATTATTTATTGTCATAAAAAATAATATAAGAATTGAACAGAAAGGTAAAGAATAAGTAAATAATAATTCCGATAGAGTTAATATTTTATAGGAATTATTATTATTTTCTTATTCTTTATTGTCATAAAAAATAAGATAAGAATCGAACAGAAAGGTAAAGAGTAAGTAAATAATAATTCCTATAGAGTTATTATTTTATAGGAATTATTATTATTTACTTATTCTTTACTGTCATAAAAAATTAAGATAAGAATCGAATAGAAAGGTCTTATTCTATAGGATTTTAATGTTGGTGGTACATTTTCATACAACGGTACACACACAATGCTACCCCACAAATTTCGCATTCATATTTTGATCGCTTTTCTTGCTTTCTTGTACTACAAAACATGCAACGTTTGTACGTAGAAAGTTTCAAATAGTGATATCCCGTTTGCCCCAATCTAATTTCATCTGGAATCCCAAAAACACCCCCCTTTTTGTTTCTGAATACCACTGGATTTTGTTTTTTGTTTGAGATATGTGCCGATTTTAAGCTTCGAGCTAAACGTAATCTAAAATCTCGGTGTATGTTTTGACGATTTTCGTGTTTGTGTTTATATAAAATGTATGCGTTAATAATGGAACTCTGCGTTAATAATAGAACTCTCGAACAAAAACCAAAACAGGCGGAACCATGACTTTTTTGACCTGCGGCCAATTGCGTACGAACTTCGATAATGGTCGAAATGGGCCACGCCACCCATACTTCATGTGTATTCTGCAATTATAGATGGACAGAACATATCTTTCTTTTCCCCGTTTTTTTGAGTCCTTTGGATTACTTCAACTTTGGTTGGGTTAACTGCCGTCGACAAAACATGCACATCTTTCGTATCCTTCCAGAAAGGATGAAGAAGGGTATGTAAACTCTCCAGGATTCAATTTCGTTTCATTTGCCAGTCTTCTTTCTTCAGGAGTTTTAGGTTTTCGTGTAGACAACTCTTTAGGAAGACCTTTACGTAGCATTCGGACTGTTCCTGTAGCCAGAATCCCTCTATAATAAAGACTTTCCATAAGAACTACAGAGGTAAAAAAATTGTCAAACACCAAATGTGTATTTGGTGGTAAATTTCCTCCTAGTTTCATTACAACTCTGTAACCTAAGCCTTCCTCATTAAGTTCTTGGTCTTTGCCTGCATAAATATCACACTGGTAGAGGTAACCACTTTTTGCATCACATCGACATCACACCTTGAACCCTCTCTTGATGGGTTTAGCTGGCATATACTGTTTTTTACAGTTACGGCCTTTAAATTTAATCATATGCTTTCATCCACTGACTGGATTTGCGAGTTGGTAGCATTCTCTTGGAATGTCATGTTTAGATAAGTTAGCAGTGGTCTTATTTTTTGAAGTTTGTCATGGTCTTTGTGATCCCTGGGCAAATGAGTTGTAATGTCGCAAACATGAAAATTTTCTAGGATTTTTTTGAATCTTTTGCAATTAATTGTGCTACTTATTTCTATGTTTTATAAAACGGATCTGCACTCCAATACAACTCGATATCTGACTGAGGGCCTATTCCCATTAGAATGATTATCGCTAGAAATGCTTTTATTTCATTAACATTAGTGTCTGTCCAGAATTTGCTTTGTTTCAACGCTGCATATTTATTTGTATATTTGACGATCATTTCAAAAAGCTCATCTGGGAACAAATTACTAAAATATTCAATAGGGAGACTTTTATGGTTATATGATTTAGTGGGTTCCATTTCCTTATTAAAACTGTACTCCTCGAAATTTTCAACTTTAGTAGTCCACATTCTATTCCGTGCCTGTAATTCAGCATAAGTTGGTAAATCAGCAGGTAAGTTACTGATTGGTGAAGACTGTGAAAAACCTGCTGGCAACTCTTCACCGACACCAAGAGCAAGTACTTCAGGGTTAGCGGGTAAGTTAGAGCATGGTGCAGACAATGGAACATAAGGTGGCATCTCTTTATCAACCGGAGGAGCAAGCACTTCGGGGTGAGCAGGTAAGTGAGATGATGGTGCAGACAATGGAAAATAAGGTGTCAACTCTTCACCAACACCAGGAGTAAGCACTTCAGGGTTAACAGGTAAGTTAGAGCATGGTGCAGACGATGGAACATAAGGTGGCATCTCTTCCTCAACCGCAGGAGAAAGCACTTTGGGGTGAGCAGGGGGTTGAGCAAGCAATTCAGGGTGAGCAGGTAAGTTAGAGGATGATACAGACAGCGAAACACGAGGTGGCAACTCTTCAAGGTCATTGACAAGTGACGCTCCATAAAGTTGACATGGATCATCGTCTAAAATATTTAATAACTGTTGTTGTGACATACCCTGCATTTCATTCAACATTGCGTTTATTGTTCTTGGGACGTAATCCAAATGTGATTCTCCATCCGTCCTCTTCATCTTCCTCTGATTCGAACATCTCATCAAGAATATCTTCGATCTGAGAATCTTTCAGTATCTGTAAAATAAAGTAATTACACACATAATGAATGACTAGCTAGATGACAAAAACATACCCACTACCATGTTAGCATATTGGTTAGAATATAATAAAAATTAAAAATGAAAACCGCGGGTAATAGCTAGTGAAGAAATAAACAATTCTAATTCATCAGGCTATGAACATATAGCTCCCACATAATCAACAGTACTATCAGGCTAAGGGCATATGTTCCCCACATTTTAAATTAGTTATATTTGTAATTTTGTTAAGTATTTGGTTAAAATTTATGCATAAATCAATAGAATAACTCAAAAACTACAACATATCAAAAAATTGTACGACTTACCTTTTGTTTTTTCGCCATTATTAAAAGAAAACGCGGCACTTGTTCAAAAAACACTCAACCAACTGACAGTCACAGATTAACTAGCTATAAAAGTGACATTTGCATTCCGATTCTTTTTTTTTGATGTGACCATAGGTAATATATTTCTACAGGGTTTTTGACAGTTTGTGGGCGTTTTATCGCCAAAACCTGTTAAGGGCATCGAAAATACTATGTGGGAGGCATGTTCCTTTATCTTGGTTAAGGGTTAATAAAAGGCGGTAAAGTTAGCCCTAAGTCACTCAGGCTCAGGTCAGGCTTATTTACGCCATTTCGTTACAATCATGAACCACTCAATCACTGATTTATGTTTTTTTGAATTATCGTGAATAACTTGTGCCGTGTAGTGGCAGGACAAGAGATTCCATTGTCCTGTCATCATCCGGTGGATGTTGTGAGAGGCAACAGATAAAAATGAAACAAGAGATGGGCAGCAGTTTCGTCTTAATAAGAACGAAAAAAAAAACTCGGAATGCTAATCTGCCTACCAAGCATGGAAACTATGGCAATTATCGCAAATACCGCCTATATTTCACAGAAAACTTTTGGTAGGTTGTAATGAATTAATTTAAAAAAAAATTGATCGTGCCCATATTATAGAGTAGGCGTCGAGGTTGGTGCTGCCCTTTGTTGCTATCCATCATTAGTCGGTGACTTTTGATTTTAAGCGGTCTTTCTGTGAAACAGAAAGTGGGAACGTGGGAACTCCCGTCCATCTAACAGCATGCTTCACCACATTCGAAATCATTAAATAGATAGATAGATATTTGGAAGTAAATTTGGCATATTACTCTATCACCTCTTTATTTATTATTTTAATTGTTTTGTTATTAGTTAATTGTATTTTGAGGAGAAAAATATACAGTCCAGATGCTACTTTCGTTTTGTAACTTTAAGATTCTACGTGAACTCGCTTATAAACACACCTCTTAAACATTTATTCTCGTATACACAATGTCACAATCAGTACCCGACTACTTAGTTGTAATAGAGAAAAGTATCTAATTTTATGAAACATGCTCCTAGCCTCGTAAAACTTAGTTAGCTAAGAGACCGCACAAATAATTGCTTCTGGTGTTTTGAGATAATTCAATTTTAGTGAGTAAAAACGTGCCTGGAATTCTTCTGTTAATTATGATCAACTTCTACAATAATTGTTAAGTTGCATGGACACATAATTTATAAGAAATGTAAAAAGACAAATTTTTGCCTAAAACATGTAAGGTAAGAGATGAAAAGTGGTTTTAAATAACAAAGTGACAACACGGAAAACAAGTAGTGGGGAATAATCAAATAGGTATAACTTTAAATGAGGTTAAATTTACATGTTTAACATAATATTAGTATTACGTTTAATATCGAATAAATAAAAAAATATTACACAAATAACCATTGGAATTCGCACTTTTGTATTAAAAAAAGACAAGATCTAACTTTTGACGGTTTGTAGTAGCTCGCCGATGCCGTTCCGCTTGTTTTATTTCTTAACGTTTACGAGAGTGATAGATCATATTCTATCGAAAATCATGATATTATTTTTGGTATTTTCCTTTTAACACACCTACGGGTTACGCTGTTACCTCATGTTACACTTATATTGTCACCTACATGCTATATAGATTCAAGTATAAATGAGCAGCGATAATTCAGGGGCTAAGCGCTCGCTTTAAAATGTTGATGGATGCAATTTTACTGCCAAGCATCGTGGGTGTAGTACTATGGTGCTTTGTGATAGAAACAGGTAAGAGATAGGTAGCAATCTTGGCAGACTCCTAGGCAGTAAGGGCCTCTACGAACCTGTTTGCTTGGCAGCAAGGAGCCCGCCCACCGGACTAAATGCCTCCTTACTAGCAGGTCTCCGGTTTACTGGAGTCACCATACGTAATACAGCAGTTTTATTCCACTGTTTCAGGATGTGTATTCTGTGAGAGCATGGACCCACCCCGGTCGAGTCAACCTCTTCGTGATGCAACCATAATGTAGCTGCAGCGTGACTCTACCACGCATAAAATCGACATACTCGGACCGTTAATGACGTTCCTCAATGCTAGTCTCGAGGTTTGGGTATAGATAATCCGGTTATATTCGGTGACTGAACCTTGTTTGTAAGTTAGCCATGTGCATTGTGTGTAGCTGATGTTTATTGAACAAAAAAAAAGATTCTTCCATTCCACTTAAATGCCATGGCTGCCATAATCAATTAGTATTGGCATCTTTTGATGGTTAGATTTCTTTTAAAACTTTATAGACTTACACATTTGTTCAAATAGGTTAATTAATTATTAACGACGCGAATATTGCTTAGCAGCGCCCACTGGAACTGTGGTTAGTTGTGAACTATTGAAATCAGCTCTGTCTAAACAATATTTCAGACCACTTTTCAATTGATCAATAAAATATTCATTGAATGAAACGTTTTATCGCGTTTAATTATTACTTTAACTTATTTTTATTATCCCGGCGTTTCGGGTGCTTTACAGCACCCATGGTCACGGGAGGGGAATGAGATGTTTGACGTCCCAATGTCATAGTTAGTCCGGCTACCTTCAGTTTTGAATATTAATTTTTGAACGGTTTAACGACGACGAGCTTATATATTATCATAAAGGCTTGCAGTGGTTTGCTTGGGCTTTGGGAGGATCCCAAGCAAATGGCAGCACCCATCCATCTTCTCTATTAAAATTTGGATGTGGATTTGACGATAAAATCCGTAAATAATAGTTTTATTTAATACGTAGTGTTCGCGTAAATTTAAGAAATCATTAAATAAAATATTCAATTAACCTGCTGATTTATATAGTTCCACCAGCTTGAGGAAAGATATTTCTTAGTAAAAAAATATTTTTAAATCATTAAACCGATATTATTTAACCAAAAAATATCATGTATTAGAGAGTAAATAATCTCTGCGCTTTAAGAAATTTTCGTAAATTTAATCCTAGGGCTATGTTGGAAGAGTAAGGATGTAACTGCATAATAAACAATTTTTAATGTTTAATATTATCGTAATTATATAAATTAGATGTAATTAATAAAATTTTTGAATTGTTTTTTTATTTACCTTTTGTCTACGAGTTATAAAATTGTATCATGGAAATAGTTTTCTTGCCATCGTTAATCCATTATGATATACGAGTATGTCACTATTCTTTGAGATGAACCCACGAAAGATGACATCTCGGAGAGTATTATTGGGATGATATATTGTATTGTGCCTAACATTTATTTTTGTTTCTTTAATAGCCTACTTTAGTTGTTTTTACTGCTTACTAAATCAATACATTTACAGTCATCAGTAGTTTTTCTAGACCATTTCTATATAAGACAATGGTGTTAATTTTTTGTACATAATTTTTATTTTATATATTTAGTAAAGCAAATTAATTGTTTATAACTTTCTTTAAATCATATATAATCATAATTATCATAATAAAAGTTAATGAAGGGAGAAGATAGGAGAGTTCGTATACAAGGATGCTGTTTATTAAATACATAATTGTATTATACTTTTAGTAAAGTACATTGATAGACTATCCAAAAATGCAATTCTTCAAATTTAGCCGTAGATAAAAATTCTAACAATGTTTTGTAGTAAGTATCCAGAAGACCTGAGTAACATTCTTTTCTCAATTCACCACCAGTACTGCTTGTTATTAGATATAAAACATCAAAAGCGGGACTACACAAACTTACAGTGTAAGGAACTGCACATTTTATTGCTTTATTTAGAGTTGTCGTTAAATGGAGATAAGAAAAATCAATATTCTTTATTATTATAATATGTATTTACTAATAAAATATAAAATTTACAAGAAACAAATATTAATATAGACACAACAACACTCATTGCAAGGAATACTGAAAATAGAAAGTTGGTACTTTTCATTGCTTAATATTGACTGAATAAATAATATTACTCAAGTTACCTTTTATTGAATCAATAGCTATGGGAATATAGGTAACTAGGAACTTCAGAAAGCGGGCGTTAAATAGCTGATAAAATTCGGAAAAGTGTGGATAAGGTATTGGTTTTTATAATCCAGTACAAGCTGATCTCATATTTTGTAGGATTTCCGTACAATGCGAAGTTAACGTAAACTAGAAATATATAGCTGAATGAATAATCATTTAATAATAATTATAAAAGCCGTTATGTAAAAATATATAAACGTAAGATTACACTATTTAACTAACAACGCAACACATACATTTTCTAAGCGGCAAGTTATAAATAAATAATTACATTTTATCTTAATAAAAGATTGTGTGGTATTTTGGCGAAATATTAGTGAACGTTATTAATATTTTGTTTTTACTCATTGAAGTAATATGTACATATATAACATAATATAATACATAATAGCCCAACGTTTTAACTACATATTTTTATTTTGATTATAATATTTTCTGCATATATCGTTTTTTATTTATTTTATTTTCAGAACCCCAAAAAATCTTTAGTACAATTATATATAGAAGAATCCATAACTTTCCGATTTAGTCTAGCGTCTAAGTAAAATAAATGGCTTTTGCACAGCACAACGATAGCGACAGACTAATGTTTTTGAGTGA